AACTCGTGATCAGAACCGCATGGGGGATCGAATGGAAGCCATTTGGTCAACCTCGGCGAAAGCGTCCACTCCATAGTGTCGTGCTGGATACGGGTGTAAGTGAAAAGGTAGAACAGGATGTCAAGGCGTTCTTGCAACGACGTCAATGGTATGCGGACCGGGGCATTCCTTATCGAAGGGGATATCTATTGCATGGCCCCCCTGGTTCAGGAAAGACTTCCTATATTCAAGCATTGGCAGGATCGTTATCATATGATATATGTCTACTCAATTTGTCAGAACGAGGACTCGGCGACGATAAACTTAATCACCTGTTATCAAATGCCCCGGAGCGTAGCTTTATACTCATCGAAGACGTGGATGCCGCATTTAACAAACGCGTGCAAACAAGCGAGGATGGGTGAGTCGATGAGTATGATACTTCGAAACGCACAGTTAACAGCACACACTATAGGTATCAGTCTTCTATCACATTCTCTGGCTTTTTGAACGCTTTGGATGGTGTTGCCTCAGGGGAAGAGCGAATCATTTTCATGACGACAAATCACTTCGGAAAACTGGATCCGGCACTCATCAGACCAGGGCGTGTTGATCTAAACGTGCTTGTTGATAACGCGTCACCCACACAAGCACGCACGCTCTTTACACGTTTTTACGGTGGTTGTGAATTTGCCCAACCGGAGCATATAGAACGCATGGGGCAGCAGGTAGAGGAATTAACTAGCAAAGAAATGTCTAATGGGAAGCAAATCAGCATGGCTTCCCTCCAAGGCTTGTTCATCAGGAACAATGCTCAGGATGCGGTCAAGACCCTCCCAGAGCTATTCGTAGAGAGACGGACATGAATAGACGTAACCACTTGTATGGTATCCTTTTACGAAGATCCTGTGTTCGTGAGATACTACGAGATACTCCACTAGAAGACTGGTTTGCGCTTGCGGCCAGTGAATTTTGAGTCCCTTGGTACCCCTTCTTTTCCTCGTTGGCGATACAACTAAAGATATCAGTGAGCAAATAGGCATGGTCAGTTTCCATATGACTTGCCTCTTTTTTCTTCAGGATCCAATCCTTGTCTTTCACGTTCTTTCTCTTCCCACTTACATCTCTCTTCCTTTCCTTTTCCCTTCTTCTCTCGAATCTTACTTGTTCGTCGTCTTCGCCCTCTACGCCCTTAGGCATTTGCTGCTGCGTGCCTCCTCCGCCAACCAACAAGCATAAGAACACCTTTCTTGCCTTCTTGGAATTTGGGTAATCTACAACGACACCTCCTCCAAAGCCGGCCTTCTGTGCTATAGAGGTAATCAGTTGTATCTGGTCGTCAGAAGTCGGGTAAAATTGAAAGACTGCTCGGGAAGGATTTCGAAGAGCAGAGTGTAGAGTCGTGAAGAAACGAGTTAGGCGGTGTGGCGGTGAAGACGTTGGATGCGAGGTTTCAGCATTCAAAAGCCATTGTAAAACAGATATACTAGCAGACCATAAGATAAAATAATGAAAATTAAGTCCAGTAACCGACCTTATTGCTCCGTCGAAGCTTCCTGGTCGAAAACCAAATCCCTGACCAATATCTTGTAAGAAAAGGTCGCCGTCAATATCCCTCTCTAGTGCGACTTCTGGTTACAATCAGCCCAAGTCGAGTGCTTACTATGCTAAAACTTGGCACTCACCGAGCATACTTGGCGCGATATCTACACCTGCCCAGATGTATCCCTCCTCCTCCAAAATCTCACCTGAAAGTCCCGATCCGCATCCTATATCTAACAGAAAAGCAGGTTCATCCGGAGGAAGGTTGAGCAACTCAAGAGCACGGTATGTCATATCCGCCTGGATCTGTTGATTACGGGTGCTTGTATGACACTGAGAACGGCAAGGGATGCATCGTGAACAACCATACTTTTGAGTGTATTTTTGGGCTTCAGCGTCGCCATAATACTACAGATGTCCAAAAATCAGTCTCACATCACATGTGAGTTGACGAAAATAAAATATACAATTTCTGGCGGGGCCTGATACTCTGGCCGTGACATATTTTTCAAGCAGTTCTGCTGATGATAGTAGGATTGTTAGAGTTGACAGGCACGTGGATTCAATCTTTCAGTTCTGCCCAATTCGGCAGTCTAGTCATTCCTCTCACTTTCGTCGACGATGGCGACGACGAGCAAACAGTACAAAGCCATCGGAGAGGACCTATGGAAAAGTCGCACAGATAAAATCGTGAGGTCTGAACTTTGCATCGCGTCTTTGGGTCAATCAGGCCCCAACTAAACCCAAAAACAGAATTCAGAGTTATTTGCTCTTACATACGGTGCCCTCGTCGTACAGTTGATCCAGGATTATGAAGATTATGCTGAAGTGAATAAGCAACTCGAGAAAATGGGCTATAACATTGGAACACGGTTAATCGAGGACTTCCTTGCAAGGAGCTCTTTAGGTCGCTGCTCTGACTTCCGAGAAGTAGGCGAGGTGGTGGCGAAGGTGTGCGTTTATCACTACCCCCCTTGGGCTGACGATCTTAGATGCACTTCATTTGAAGGTCGGGTTTAAATCCTTTCTAAATATCACACCAACAGTCGCGCACTCTGGTCCTCCTCCTCCCTCCCGCCCGACCAGTACAGCTCAACAGTCAGGAGTTCCTGGCTCCTCTTTTATCCTGACCCTGGATGAGAATCCCTTGGCTGAATTTGTCGAACTCCCTGACGAAGCTTTGGAAGGAGGGCTATGGTTTAGTAACGTGCTGTGTGGTGTTCTCAGAGGAGCACTTGAGATGGTAAGTTCACAAACTAAAATAATCGGCGCAACTATGTATCACGTCCATTTCAAAGGTTCAGATGCAGGTGCAGGTGGAGTTTTTATCCGATGTACTTCGTGGTGATGAGAGCACGGAGATTCGGGTGACATTGCTGAAGTACCTGGAAGAAGAAGTACCAGTCGGGGACGACTAGAGAAGCTTCATTGGATGTACTTATAGGAATAATGTATTATCTAGAAGACGAATACGGACAAGCGCGGGATCCGGTGAACTTCCGAGGATATAGAAACATACATAATGAACACCCTCAGCCACGACGATCGACCCTGTTGAGTTTCTTCGCGGTCTGCGCGTTGTTTTGGGTATTCTGGCCGCGGACAGGCAGACCCATGGCATGCCTCTTGCCAACGTAACTGCCTATCATACGTGATGCGCAATATTATCCTTCACCACTCTCCTTGCTTCGCTCTCAATCTTGATGTTTCTCAATGGATCTGCCCATGCCCTTTGTGAGAGCTTTTTTGTCTCCTCCTTTAGGACCGCGAGCGGAGTGGAGGCCGGAGGAGGTTTATAGGACGATGTGGCCAATGGAAAACGAGGAATAGGTGTTGAAGTAGAAGGAGAGGAAAGGAAGGCGGCAAGTTCTGTGATTTGATGGGGTGTTAGACTTCGAACTTTGCACTTGTCGTGAATTTGAAGACGTGCACAAAGTCGATGTGCTGTTTTATGGCCAACACCATAGAATGCAGTCAAGGCGAACTAATTTGACAATGAGCAAATATTTTAGAGGCAATTGGCTATAGCGCACCCTTGCATACTGGTAGTCTGGGAGCTGCACCCCCAAGACATGGACCATGGCTCACTCTGACGATAATTAGAAGGGAACAGCGAACTTGAAAGCTTCAAGTGAAGTATTTCATACTCCGCGACACAACTTTGTGCTTCACACCACTCAACCAAAACCTTTATGGCTACTAACAACGCTGAAGGACGTCGCGAGGACGCTTTCATCAAGCAGCGCGCTCAGAATCGTGAAGAGTATGAGCGCCAAAAACAGACACTCATCAACGAAACAGAAAAATCCCGTCCTTCAGTCAACAAATTTGTCGGTCAAAATGACTCTATGGAGGAGACTCTCAAGAACCAGACTATAGGTCTAGTGAGGCTGGAGGACTTTCAGCAGAGAAGGAAAGAGCTGGAGGAGGCAAAGGCACGTGAGGCTGCTCGCACCAACGAACTCAAGTATGTTATTTTCAGTGTCCAATGCCATTCTCTTTTGTACCGTGACGACTGCGTGGAAAGATGACTTATATTCCGTGGAGGATTTGTTTAGGGACGAAACAAGGAGGGTAAAGAAACGCAAGAAGACCAAAGCTACCTTATCGTTTGCCATGGACGACGAAGGCGACGTCGAAGGAGACACCTCGTCACGCCAAACTCCTGAAGTCGAGAACGGTGAACAAGTATCCAAGCGCGCCAAGTTCCGTAAGAATCCTAATGTGGATACATCATTCCTTCCGGACCGTGAACGAGAGGAAGCGGAGAGGAAAGAGCGTGAAAGGTTGCGCCAAGAATGGATTCGCAGACAAGAGGAGCTTAAACAGGAAGAAATAGAGATTACCTATTCTTATTGGGATGGGAGCGGTCACAGGAAATCGGTTGTGGTATGTTCTCATAGTGATCTAGCATTCAATGGCTTATTCGCGGGATGCTCTAGTGTAAGAAAGGTGATACCATTAGCTCCTTCTTGGAGAAGTGTCGGCAGCAGTTCCCGGAATTACGAGGCGTTAGCGTTGACAACTTGATGTACATCAAGGAGGATCTCATAATACCTCACGTGAGTTTTTTCTTGCTGATCATTCATCTCAATATATTAATGTATTTCGACAGCATCATACGTTCTATGACTTCATCATTAACAAAGCTCGTGGAAAGAGCGGGCCATTGTTTAATTTCGACGTTCATGATGATATTCGCCTGCTTGCCGATGCGACCAAGGAGAAAGACGAGTCACACGCTGGCAAAGTGGTGGAGAGGAGTTGGTATCAACGGTTTAAGCACATCTTTCCGGCCTCTCGATGGGAGGTAAGTAAGGCATCCCTCCAGTGTCCATATCCTGTTAATCAAGGTATAGATATACGACCCAGAGAAAGACTATGGAAAGTACACTATCGCCTGATACCATTACATTCATATTGTGTATACATAGTGTTGTGAAGACGTCATAGATCTTATAATCTTGAGTAAAAAGAATTGCCAGGACCGTGGATTGAACACGGGACCTCCAGAACACGCTCCTTCACTTCAGTCTGTTGCTCTCCCAGCTGAGCTACCCCGGCATTCCACTTGCAAGGAGATTCTCACTCTGGTACATTCCACAGGAAATAAGCAGGTTGCATAACCTTGAGGTGTATGTTGTAGAGTTAGTTTGCCATGCAACTTTAGGTGACATATATTGACTGATAAATATCTTGGATGATATGGATTATGGTGAATAGACAAGGTAATCCTAAACCAAATGTTATAGTACATGCCTTGTCTCTAAGTAAGATGCAACTAGATGGGATCCCCTGAAATAGCGCTCTGAAAGTCAAGGTAGATGATCGATGTAATGTGACGTGATATCGAAGAATGTCCAGAGGAGCCCGTGCGTTGTGATGCTCCGCACCGCACTGACGCCGAGACCACGATATATGCGTGCTATACCAGCAAGGACCGGCTTTGGATCTTTAGGATCGGGACCTAATGAATTTTGAGCCGTAGTAATATGACTGCATTGGTCTGCCGTACCGCGCACGAGGCGACGGAGGGTTTCCCATACTCCCTTCGGAGGAGTGCCAGCTAAAGCACGTTGCTGGACTTTGGTCTTTACCCTAAAAGGCGAAGGGAAAATGAGTTTTATGGCAAGGAAAAAGTTGTGGACTAACACATCAAGGGGATATATCAATGCCCATGAAGACACACCGGCCAGCGAACCACAGACGAAGGGAATCAAGGATGTGGGTATCGGTAGCCATGCCGGTGTTGGTCCCTGCTCTCCCGAGCGCTGGCGGCCCAATAGATGTCGCATAGCATCATATTCGAAAAAGTACAAAGCAGTGCCAGCTGTATCTCGCACTATAGGGCGGGTTAGTCAGAGTAATAAATAATAAAAGTATATCATTTGCCAAAGTGGAGACGGAACCCTATCCAGAGCCCGGACAGCCCATGAGTTCGAAAAATCTCTCGGACAGCGTCGATAGTATTTGGGGGTTTGACCATTTGTACGCCTTTAGTTGCGGCTATGCTGAATTCCAATTGCCTTCGAACCTGTCAATGGACTTGGAAGATTACCTTGCTAGACAAATTGGCCGAGTAAAAATACCTTGACGAGTTCGAAGGCTAGTTTCACATGTCAGATGTTTAAAGTATACAGTTGAAGAGCACGCACGTGCACTGGTAAATGAAATCAATGACCCAGACAAAGCGCCACTGAGACCGCCCGCGAGAGCAGCATCGGAAGCTCTATCACCTGTAAAATAGTTGTTTTTGCGACAGTATTCCTTTGTACCACTGTATACTGTGAACGAAGCAGCACCTGGATAGTCGTTAGGCCTGTAAAGAACAGACAGCGTACGACAACTCACGGACAAACGAAATTGTGACAAGCGGTATCCAAAAACCTCTATAAAAGCCAGTTACTCCTTCTTCTCGATAGACGATACCAGCCAGCTTGAGTACTGGCATCCTTGTCTTGGTGGTCTGTAGTCTCGACTTCAAAGAATCCAACTAAAAAAACAATCAGATTTCGCAAGTTTTGTCGATGTGGAAAGGGCAAACACACTGGATATCCGACAAAGGTCGAAATGTAGCTAGCTGAGAGAGCGCAGACCACCGGCTTATTTCCTAGCAAAGGAGTTATTACGAAATTGACAAGTGTTTATCATTATACATACGCTTCAAAACGTCGTTAAAACCATCCCTGTTGAACCAGGGATTTATTGGTGGGCTGGAGGCTTGTTCAAAAACTATGACCTTGCGAGAAGTCCAGATTACCTTGTTCCATCCATAACTCTTCTTGCTGGACCAGACGGAAAGTCCAGTTTCGTGCCTCTGCCAGTCTGTATCAAGAAAGGCCGGGCGTGATCTCAGTTGGAGCCAGAAAGAAGAGCTGGAGAGGAGATTCAGGGATCTTCAAAGGCAATTCGATATAATACTTGAAGACTCGGTATCAGACTCGGAGCTGTCACGCGTCATGAAAATTACCCATATTTGGTTGAGAGGTTTATGCGCCTATATATTTGAATTTGGTATTCGCCACGCGTCTATCATGATCCGGGAAACCAACGAAACTGCTGTATTACAAGGGCGCGTAACTGCTGGTACATATTTATCAGAACCCACCCAGCCTCTTCTTCACAAGCTTCTTATTCGGACCATTTCGGCCACCATACGGTCCAGGTAACACTTGGGTACTCATCATCAGCTCTTGGGAGGGTTGAGAAGGTTCAGGATAATTGAGGCCTTGAGGCTGGGTGCCAAAATTTCCCCAGTGATTCTGGGCAACATGGATAGGAGGTGGACGGGGCTCGAAACCTGCAACAATCAGCGGAGGGCGCTGTGATGTTGTAGTCGTCGTCTGTGTATTAACCGGTGCGGTGGGGAGTGGCCTTTCTCGCGAAGGAGCAATAGGATCGTCGCCTTCTGTGTTGTACGGATCATGATACGTATAGGACTCAACGTCCTTTCCAACTTCCCATTCCCTCAACAACAATCGCACACCCAGCGGGCTGGAAAAATCTGTATCCTGTGCAGGTTCTGCGACAGCGTCCTTGTGCCTGGAAGCATCCGGGTAATGGTTGATACCAAGCTTGAGATGTGGACACAGATAGCCAAACTGAATCTCAGGAGGTTCATCGTCAAGTGTCAGAGCTTTTGTGGTAAGAGACATACTCTCCACATCGTCAACCTCGATCGGAGCAGCGTACATAGAAACAGGCTGAGCTGAAAATACCATACTAGAAAGGGCCAAGTCAAGGATGAGTTGTTCTCGTGATTCTTCCTCTTGTTGCGCGAATGACCCAGGGGCATCATTCGAGTAAGACAAACTGAAGGCTTCCAGAGGACCATGCATCTCCTCCCAGTGATCCGCAGAACTAAGCCCCATACGGCGAAGAAACGGTTTGAAATCGTAAGACCATGCTGCACCACTCGCAATCTCCTGGACCGGTAGCTCGTTGCGTACAAGTATTTTGTATCCATAATTCGAGTTGATGATCCCACCAGCGAAAAAGTCTGTTCGCGAAGCCTCATCTGGCTCTTCGTCAGCGCCAAGGCAGACATCATACCTTATAAATACATCTGATCAGCGTCTTAAGGACGACAAATAATTGAATACGCCTCACAGGGTCAACATTGCCTTGTCAGCATTATCTGTCCTCTGCCAAAATTGAGGTAGCTTGTCTACCATAACGGTAAGTTCGCCCTCAGAGGCAGCTTTTTCTCTCACACACCCCGTGACCAAAATTTCTGCGACCAAAATCAGTATCAGAACAAACTACCAAATTTAAGAATACTCACTCTGATACACCGCCCGTAGGTTGAACTCAGAGAAATGCCTTGCGCTTAGTGGCCCATAGTGAGGCTTAAGCTCCTTTGCTCTTTGAGCTAGTTTCTGCACATCAGCGCACCATTCGTGACTAGTGTGACTAGTCTGTCTTGAAAGATTGTCCATGCCATTGCGACATATAGCGAAGTCCTGACATTGGAGGCTGCCTTGTCCAGAGAGCCGCAAGAGGGAAAATGTGGACTTGTCGGGCTGGACAAAAAATGTACTTTCCAACTCAGGCGCACTCATATCTCCGTCATGAGGTAAAGATGTTGGAACAGAATGACAGTGAATCAGATTGTCGTCTCCTCGAGACACGTCATAAATGGTGATGAGTCCGTTTTTAAACGAACTTAGGAAAGTCAGGGTGCCTACAATGGAAAGTGAGTGAATAGAGAGGACCAATATTTCGCTAGTTCCGTACCGCTGTCTAACTGTACAGCCCTGACATTGAGCGATCTGTCATGTGCCCGGTTGTGCTTAAAGCTCAGAAGCATTTTCTTCGGGTACCGATTATCCAACCATAGGAGCTCCGAGGTCGTCGAAATGGTGAGGAGGTGTTCTCGCTCCAACCAATCAAAAGATGTTACAACAGAGTCCAACTGATCAGTGGAAAATAGGTCGACAGTTGGCCGACTCGACTATCTCAGAGTTAGCGGAGAAATCAACATGTCCTACTGGAATTCGTACCCTGAAATCGAGATGTTGAATGCAACTACTTGACGCTAGGAAGTAGCCTTGATCAGATGGACGAAGCCTCCAAAATTTGTCTCCATTCATGTTCCCAAAACGTGCTTGGTTAAGTCCTATGCGCCGCCTGATGAAGGCATGAGTTCAGTGAAATTGAACGAAAAAAGTTACAAACACAGCTTTTGCTCCTTGATATATACTGCAATTGTAAAGTGCTCCAGAGGTGTTCACAGCGATGATATCCGAGTCGTGGGGTGAAAATGTAGCATCTACTACGCTTTTGCCTCCTGCGTCATCAGATAATATGTCCACCTCCCTTGTGGCCTTGAAGCCTGAGCCTTCATCCGCTAATTCAATGCTTAACAGAGATGTTGCGGAGAGTGTTCTGACCAGAACAGAATTGGTACAACGCTTCAGAGATGAATTTGATGCGCTTGGGGTTGAGATCTGGAAAATGGGTGTCTCGAACTTGGACGCAGCATGCCCAGGGGCATGAAAAGTCGAATCGGAATTAGTAGCGGATATAAATGATATATCTAGCATCGAAGCTGAGATAAACTAATAAGGGCGAGATTGGACATGACAGCTTACTCAATTCATTGCTGGTTTCTCCCATTGGAAAGAGAACCAGTGATGTTTGAGGGGTGCTGGAAGACGGTACAATGCTAATTAAATTGCCTCTCAAAGGATCGTAGACTTGTAACTCTCTGTTTTGTCGTTCGTCGGACTGGAACTCTGCCTTGATGAGCTCCGCGGGGAAATCGGCATCCGGGAAACATGTTCTAACGAAGTTGAGCTGTTGAAGGATGCACAACATCAACATAACGCTAAGAATATGGATAAAGTTCATACTCCTTCTTCGATTCGCCTCCACTGCGTGAGACGACTTAGCGTTGTATTTACAGGTCGAGTAGCAGGAAAAATGCAACGTCCTGCCCCAACTGGTGTCACTCTTCGAGCTGAATAAATCGTCAACTACGATCATGCTGACTCGTGCACAAAGTTCAAACTTACCATTTGATGTATCGATGACGGTTGTCCAAGCTAGCCGTCCGCCAGATG